AGTATTGTCTCCTTTTAAAGAGTAGGAGGGGATCTGTGCCAGGTTTGTAGATGTTCCCATGACATGTTCCCATGTTCCCATGTTCCCTTCATGTTCCCATGACATTCTGTCTTTGCACGTCTTCCAGATTTCCCCCTTCCTGAAGGACACCAGTCATACTGGAATAAGACCCAACATAATGGTTCTATTTTAGCTTGATTACCTAGGCAAAGACTCCATCTTCAAACAGGGTCACATTCTAAGGTAATGGGGGTTAGGACTTCAACACGGGACTACTCAGCCCATAACAACAAGAATTTGTGTGTGTGTGTGTGTGTGTGTGTGTGTGTGTGTGTGTGTGTGTGTGAAATGTTCTGATTTTTTGGTTTTATGTACTGGCAGATAGAATGAAGCTCCATTCTCAGTACTCAGAGACTCTTGAGTAGTGGCTGGGGCTTGGTTCAAGCTGATGCTGGACATGGGGATCTTGTGTCCCAGAAGTGGCAAAGATGAGACTGTGCTAAATATTACAACATACACACTCCTGACCAGGCAAAGCTTATTGAGAGGGAGCGGGGAGAAAAGGGCTTCAACTGCACTGGGCTTTGGCTGAAGGGAGCCAGCAGGCGGTCCACATAGTGACCAAGCTGCTGTTCCCTGAACAATGGCTGCCCCTTCTCTAAGGGCGCACACACTCCCCACTGTAGCCCTCACCACTCTCTGTTGTCCACACCTGCCTGGGTCTGCAACCTGACATGACCTTCTGCCCTGTGCAGGACAAGTGGGACCAACAGGTCCAGGTGTCCACTAGCTTCTCTTGGGTAGGCTGCTGTCCCTCATATTCATGCTGCACTCTTCCTCTCCAGCCTTCCAAACAAATGTTAGGGACCAACGTATACTGAGCCCCTTCAGGAAGCTCAAGCTGTCCCAAGAAGGGACTCCATGACAAATCTGTGTCGATGAGAATACTGGGGCTCAGAGAAGCTGGGTGATTTTGCCAGGGTCCTGATACCAAGCAGTGGAATCTTTAGTCCCAGAGATAGTAGAAGTTAAGAGTGGGTCAAATATGCTAAGCACACACATAAGCTCAAAACTTTGTGGGGACAGTGTTCAGCCAAACTGGAGCTTTGAGCATTTGCTTGAGAGAGTGGCCAAGCTGCTGCCCACAAAACAGAGAGCAGTAGGTTTTTATTGATTTGCTGGGGTGGGCTCAAGTCCAGTAACTCCCATTGTAGCTCCAACAAATTTCATTTTGTGATGCTTTTGGAACACTGGGTGGTCATTTAGCTACAGGCTGTTGAATTTTTTGTGTCTGGCACCATCACCCTGTGCAGGACCTCCTGGCCTTGTACTTGGTGGGCTCACACACAGTCTGCTTTGCTCAGGAACTGCCGAGGTCCTCTTCCAGCTGCCTGCACATCCCGTACATGGGTCCTGGCCTTACTATAGGGCTGAAAGACTTTCAGGGCTTGTGCTGCTGAGAAAGCATGAGGCTGGGCTGGAAGAAACACAGAGCAGCTCCCATGGGCAGGAGGCCAAGCTGGCCCTGCATCACAGTCTTGGATGAAGCACTCCTTAAATGATCAACGTGTCGCTGTGCAGAGCTGAGTAGAATCTGACACCGATGTTAAAATAGCAAAGGGGACAGACACACTGTGAAGCCAGAGATGCAGAGCCCCTTGTCCCATTTTAGTCACCCATCAGACTTCTGTAGGCCCGAGTGAAGCAAAAGCAGCTGTCAGGTCCCTGGGTAGTAGTAACCCAGGCACCGAAAGCATAACGCCCGAAGCTAGTAACATATCACCCAGCTGTGCAACCTCTAAAATTAGAGATCTTAAATTGACTAAGAGCAAGTGAAGCTAGAGATATTATTTTAGATTTTCTTGGTAAACATTTCTCATCTCATACCAACATCCTGTGCTTATGGTTTTTATAAAGGTCTCATGATGCTACACCCAGCGGCTTACTTCACTGCCTCAGCTCTTTGTCCTACTGTTACCCCACTGTGGTGGTCCTCACTGCCTCATAACCAGAGGCACTTACTCAGGCAGGCCTGGCAGGTCCCCAAAGATCCTGAAAGTGTGGCCTTCATCAGCAGCTGCAGCACTTGGGAGGGTGTTAGATGCAAGCTCTAGGCCCCAGTCCACACTGGTGAATGAGGTTCTCCAGCTTGCAAGGCCCCGAAGTCTGCACCCCCCTGGGCCCTCCAGGAGTCTGTCTGATGCACACTCAAGCTTGATTGCCTCTGCCTCACAACTTTCACTTCTTCACTCTCTGTCCAGGAAACCCATCCGTTGGCCTGCAGTCATCTGGATCCTTGTGCCTACACCTGTCAGTAGCAATTCCAGAGTCAGAGAAAGGACCTTTCACTGAGTTGAGCAATCCAGGAACCTGAGAAATATGGTGGCCAAAAATTCCCAAGTTCCCAAGGACAGACACTTAACTGGCTTATGTGGGGTCTTGGGCTACTCAAGAAGAGGAATGGTATTTGCCACTCCCACTCTTGTTTTGGGGTAATATATATCAGACCTTGATACTGTATATTCTGTGAAATCTTTATATATTGAAAATTTTAACCTTCTGGACTTTGGAGTAGAGGAGTAAGAGGGCAGAATTCATCATGATTTTCCACATGTTTTCTGGAAAACGTAGGGAAAGAGATCGATATTATAGCATTAAGGGTGAGCAGAACTGCTCTGGAGGGGCCTCCTCTCCAGTGTACCAAGTGTGCTTTGCATTCTGGGTCAGCTGGAGGGATGCAGTGGTCAGTGCCTTCCCTTTTAGTGCCCTGTTGGCCTGTGTTTGTTGGGGTGAGTGAACTAAACCTACTGTGAGAAGTCAGTGAAGCTGAAATTATAAGGCTACAAAAAATAGGTGTGATGACCTTCGGCTTTGGGGTACCCTCCATCCCTTTACCTGCTTCCAGACCACCAGCCTTCCTAAGTGGAAGGCAGAAGCTGGTGGTGTACGAAGTTGATCAGGCTCCCAGTTGGCTTTAGTTTGGCTTGCAGAAAATTAATTAAAAAAAAAAAAAGCTCTTACCTGAGTTTAGTGGTCCCAGCGGTCTGAGAGGGTAAGCCCAGTCTGGCAACTTGGCAAGATCCTGTTTCAAAATGAAAACTAGAACTGGAGCTTACTATAATGGCTGGGTTCAATTCCCAGGATGGCAAAAACAAACAAAACGTAAGTTCTTTTAGCCAACTGCCAATACAGTGTTTTAAAAATCAGCACATTTCAAGCAGGGCATGGTGGTGCATATCTGTAAATCCCCAGCTCTTGGGAGGCTGAGGCAAGAGGATCACCATGAGTTTGAAGCCATCCTAGGCTACATGGTGAGTTCAAGGCCAACCTGAATTATATAGTAAGACCCTTTCTCAAAACAAACAAACAAACCAGGACATTTCTTATAAAATAAGGCTTCTGTTTTCTTTGACGAAGTCAGAAGTTCTTCCTCCAGGGAATGGCCGCCATCTCTTGGAACTCCCTTTTCCTGGGATGTGAAGCTCCTCCCTCAGTATCATACATAATATGTTTTTGTTGTTAATATTTAATATCGAGACCAGATTGCCAATGCTGCATATCATCCCACAGGGACAGCTGTAATTTTATGAGCTAGGAAGGTAGTGTAAGACTTGTACCATATCCATCTCTGTCTCAAAGTAGGGCAATCAGAATGAGAATGATACAGCTTTCAAGGAGAATGGGAGAGAAATTAATTCCCATGGAGGCAGAGGGTACTCCCATGTTTCCTATGCAAACTGTGTTCCTATTGAGAGAATGCAACTCCCCCACCCGCCCTGTCCCAGGACTGGAGATTGAATCCAGGCCTTCACATTGAGCTACATCACTAGGCTGTTTTTCACTTTTTCATTTTGAGTCAGAGTGTCACTAAGTCAGGGTGTTGCCCCAGCCAGGCTTGCACATGTGAGGCTCCTGCCTCAGCTTCAGAGTGCTGGGATTAAAGGTGTGCACCATCACACTTGGCTGAGACTACAAGAGTCTCCTATGAGACAAACTAACACTCTTCACTCACTCTTTCTAATTCCTGATGGACAGTGATTGTCAAACTTTCAGGTCTCAGGACCTCTTTACTCTCTGAAAGATTATTAAGGATCTCAAAGAGGTTTTGTTTAAGATGTTGTAAGTTATATCTACAGTTACTTAATGTGTTAAAACTTGAAAAGCTAGAGCTGGGATGTAGCTCAGTGGCAGAGTGCTTAGTCTAGCACGAGCAAGGCTGTAGGTGTCCCACCTAATACCACAGAAAGAAGAGGGAAGGTAAAGCACAGGATACACAAGCACACAATCCATCAGCCACGGGAGCAATGATGTCATCATGTCTTGGGAAACTCCACTGTGGCTCATTCAAGTGCAAATGGCAAATAGAGTAGTTAGTAGTTTCCACCACCTGTGGAGCTCTGGAAGAAACCCTAGGATTTTGTTCAGAATCTTTGGCTCTGGTGTTTGTGACCCCTCTGTCAAGAAAACTCCAAAGAGCCTGATGTGGTAACTCACACTTGTAATCTCAGCACTTGGGAGGCTGAGGCAAGAGGATCACTGCAAGTTCAAGACCAGCCTGAGCTAGTTCAGGGCCAGCCTGAAACATACAGTAAAACTCTGTATCAAAAAAGACCAAGGAGGAGGAGAGGGAGAGGAGGAGGAGGAGGACTCCAAGGAAGCAGGGGGTGTAGCTCAATGATAGAGCACTTGGCTAGCATGCATGAAGCCCTGGATTCAATCCCCATTACTGCCAGCAAGCAAACAAAAAACAAACTTGCCATTAAGAAGACTCCAAGAAGAGTTAACTTTAACTTTCATTTTCTGCTGCTACAATATAGATTCCAGATCTTTTGAAGCAGGGGATAAAACAGACAACAAATTTGTTTCACTAGGCTTTTTGGTAAGGTGCAGTACACACCAATCCAGTGCATCTCAATGAGTTCTGGACCTTGCAAGGCAAGGGCAAGAATAATTCTCTGGCTTAGGTCCTTGGCAGGGAGAAAGAACAACAGACACTGCAATTTGAAAAATAAAAGAACCAGCCGTTTTATTCCAAGACCATTGTTGTGGGGGGGTAGGAATAAATAAGGGAGGGTGAGGGGTTGGGGCAGGAGGCTCTACGTCTTGCAGCATATCCCACACTTTTCTTTCTTACAGCAGCTGCAGCAGAAAACGCAGATGGGAAAGTGGGCGTCCCGCCTCCTCAGCCTCTGCAGTGAGGGCTGTGAAAAGGAAGGGAGGGTGAGGACTGGCAGGGCCAGGCTGTGAGGACCAGGGCAGGAGTCTCAATCCTTCTTACCGTGAAGCTGGCCTTGGCTTCAGCTGTGTTGTGGGGCTGGGACTCTACAAGCTGCCCTGTCTGGAAAAGAAGGGGCACTGAGGATGGCAGAGCTCTCAGGCTGCCCATGCCAACCTGTTCCTCTCCCAGTGGTTGAGAAGTCATGACCCGGCTGGACTCCTAGGGGAGGGACTTCCTTTTCTTGCTCTTCTCCTGCTCCATTGGGGATTCTCCTTCTGGAAAACCCTGAAGATCTGCCACTTTTTCTCCCCATCGCCACATCGTGTAACAGAACGACTTTTAATGTTACCCATCAGATCATGGCTTTCCCCACTTTAAAGCCAACAGGATGTGCCTGGCACTTAGAGGATAAATTGCGTCTGCACAGTCGCACCCTGCACACCTCCCATCTCATCTCCCGGCACCACCCTTGCTCAGCCAGCTCTCTGGTCTCTCAGCACTTGCGCTTGCCCCATCTCACTGCCTGTTTGCTAACCCACCTATTACTCTCTAAGGCACAGGCACGGTATCAATTTCTCACCAAACACTCTTGACTGCCAGCACCTTGTCCCCACTCTGGTCCCTCTACACCATCTGTTATGCTATTCATGAGTAGCATTTACTAAACACAGTTCATTTGTTTGATTCATTCATGAATTGATTCCCTGACCAAGATGTAAACTCTGTAAGAGCAAAAATCTCTCTCTTCTACCATGTGCTCCATCCCTACTGTCTGCAGGAATACTTGACTCAGAGTAGCACTCACTGGTACAATTAGGTCAGAGGTATCCCTGTATCCCTGCCACTCTTTCCCATCCGTATTCTCCAAGCAGGTACAGGTCCCCCAGGGCAGGCCTGAGCTCAGCAATGCATCCCCACCCCACCCTGGCCCGATCTGGCTCTCCAACCCATGCCCCCAGGACTCACCTGTGGCTGGACAATAGAGCCACTGGTCAGGCTAGTGAGGAGGAGGACCAGGAGGCAGGCAGCCCGGATCTGAGTGTACAGTGCCATCATGCTGTCTGTCTGGCCAACCTGTTGGGTCGAAGACTTGCTCTGGTGTCTAGGGCTCAGTTACCGTCTCTTTTATGAGGCCTGTTGGAGGAGGTGGTGGTCTGAGCCCCCACCCCTTTGCCCTAACTCATTTCCAAGAAGGTGGTGGCGCCGTGAAGGCGGGAGAGATAAGCCGGAACACTGACAGACACAGGGGACAGAGTTGTGTCATCCTTGGCCAGCAGAGGTGTGTCTAGGGGGTGGAGCAGCCAGGCCACAGATGCATTCCTCTGGCCAACTACCTGGGAACACTTTCACTCATTGTGATGTCACCTTGTTGACCCCAGAAAGAAAAAAATTCCAGTTTTACGCCAGAAGTTGGAGAGCAGCAGTGCAATACCTCTCACTCCCACCTTTCCTACATGCCCTCATTTACGCCAGCATAGCTGATAGGCCCAGCATAGCTGCCAGAAGGGGTATCTCATTATTCTGGGGTCTCTGCACCCACACAGCTTCTGGGAAGGACACTGGATAGCCGGGTGCTAGATACAGCTCACGTTCGCTGAACCCCCACCATGCAGTTTTCTGAATGGCAGACTTTGAGGCATGGCTCTAAATGACTGGAAAATGACCATAGAAGGTGGCACTGATACCGGCATCTGATGCGTGCACCTTATATGACAGCATATGTTTCCTTTTGCATCAGCCATTGCCGCCTGGCCTCCATGGAGCTCCTGGGCTCTGCTCAGTATTTTGGGATCTCAGCTGTCTTCTCCCCACTAACCCCAGATGTGACTTCCCTGATGCCAAGTCTTGTGGTCATCATCACCACGCTCTCTGCCTCGCCAAAACAGAGGGGCACAGCAGACTGTGTCTGACCCTCTCATCCAAGGTCCCATTCAGTGTCATCAATTGGGACCAGTAGAGGGGAGTATTTACATTGCAGAAACTGGCCAACACCAAGGGTTTTAGTGCCGATTCTCTGCTGGCTGGGGGATGAACCCAGGCTGACTGCAGTACCTTTATTCCTATCTACCGGGCCCATCTTGCAGTACCTGTCCTAAGACATCTACAAAGCCTCATTCGAGATGAGCCGTCTCGCCTGACTCAGCCAGGGCTATCCAGCATTACCCCTGCTGCCAGAGCCCAAAGAATTAACACTAGCAACAAATGTTTCTTCCTGGTCCCTCACTGGAAACCATGAAAACAGACTGGCCCTAGCAAGGAGGGCTGCCTCAGTCACTCCACTTGGCAGCTAATCATGCCACACTCAAGAGATAGCTTCAAAAGGGAAGCCCCAGGCAAAGCAGACAGAGACCAGTTACAGCACTTGGGTGGTGGCAGGGTGGAGAGCTCGGCAAGGGGAACAGCTGGCAGACCCAGATCTTCAGGGGGCTGAATGAAAAGGTGCTGCACATCGATCCCCGAAGGAAGCAGCAGCATCCTCCAGCTTCAGCAAGCATCGCTGCATTGGCTCAGACCAGGTTTCATCATCAGTCAGGGGCAGGGGTCACAGCACAGGCGCCAGAGCCCCGGTGCATGGCGACAGGCAGACGGGCCAAGCCTGGCTTCCTGGCCATCTGCCCTCCCTGGGGGTGGGGGGCTCAAGGCCAGGCCCCATCATTGGCTGGTGGAGAGGGGAGGGCTTCAGCCCACAAGGCAGGGCCAGGAGTCAGGTTTATTTTCAGGAACTGGTGACAGGGAGACCCCAACCTCTCATCCAACAGCAAGGGACATGTCCTTGACCCTTGGTCCTCCACTCCAACCTGCATCTTCACCCTTGGGGCCTTCAAGAGGCTATTCAATCCTTAATTCCTCCATCCATCTGGCCAATGGACAGGGCACCAAGCGTGTGGAATGGCAGAGACAGGTACACTGCCACCAACACAGCAGCTTAAGTCCTGGCCTTTGGGAGCTCTGTACCCACCCTGGTCCCTCCCCTGCCCTGAAGACAGACAGACAATAACAGACAAGGCGGGGGCCACATGGGGCCAGTTTATTGCAGTTAAATACCTCTCTCTATTTTTTTGACCATTTTTCCATAAAGAAAATTAACACACACACACACACACACACACACGCACACACACGCACACACACACAAGCACGCACACACACACACGCACACACACACACGCACGCACACCACCCCCACGAAGGGGAGCAGGGATCCAGAAACAAGAGGTGGGGTGGGACATGGCCTTTCTGCCTAGGTCCAGGCCCCAGGGTAGCCCCCCAAAAGCTCCCTCCTTCCCATAAGCACCCTGTCTCAGTACCTCTAGAGACCAAGGAGGCAGCAGGAAACGGCAAGGCCTCTGTCCTCCTCCCTCTCGCCCCCTTGTAAGGCCACCAGGAGTGCTGGGGCTTAGGGAGGGCCAGAAAAGGGAGGCAGACAGACAGGTGAGGTTGGGGGTCATTTCCAAGTCTAGGAGGGCAGTGGGTAATGTATCCACAGAAATGCATTATTTCATTCATTTTTTGTTAAAAATCTACTATAAAAAAACGCAGCTGGGGGAGGGGCATGTGTCCCTCTCTGTGCTAAGGGCTGGGGGTGGGGCGTCATGGTGGAGCAGGCATCACTGCCGGGCACTCTCGCCCACCATCTCCAGGTTGTGCTGCTGCAGCTGGGCTCGAAGCAGGGCGTTCTCATTCTTCAGCTCCTCGATCTGGAGGTGTGACAGGGCACAAGTGAGTCAGGGGCTGGCTCCTGGGGCCTGGAGTTCCCAGGGCACCCATACGCACCTGTTGCCTCAGGAGCTCGTTGTCTACCTGCAGCCGCTCGGCCTCCTTGAAGGTCTCCTGCATGCGCTGGTTGGTCTGGCGAAGCTCCCGGATATAGTCACAGGCCTTTGACAGGATGCCCCCTTTACTCTGGGTGGGGGTGGCGAGAGTATCAGACTGGGCACTCCCCTCTGGCCCATCCCAGGACAGCACCAGTGCTGTGGGTCAGCCAGGCTGGGGGATGGGGAACAGGGGCACTGTAGCAATGAGAAGGCCAAGTGGCCTACCAGAAGGCAGGGGACACTTACCGCTCCTGTCTTGCTATTGTCTGCATTACAATCTGGAATGATTTTTGAAAGCTGGACGATCCAGTTGTTGATCTTGTCCCTCCGTCTTCGCTCCACTGCAGGAGAATAGCAGTAATAACAGCTACCCAACAGCACTTACCCCTGCCTGATAGGTTGCCACAAAGGATAGACACTGTCTGCCCTGAGCACGGTCTGTGCCAGGGAAGTGCAAGACGGAACCCTGGCAGCACTGCTTCACAGGAAGACCACACACCCTCAGCCAGAAGTCAAAAGCTGTGCACTATGGATCTGGACTACTAGGCATGGTGGCACATTCCTAACCCAGCACTCTGAGAGGTTGAGGCAGAAAGCCTGAATGTTCAAGCCTGGGCAACTTATCAACTTAATAAGACTCTGTTTCTGGAAAATACACAAAAAGGCCAGGATGTAGCTCAGTAATGGATTTAATCCCCAATACTGCAAAGTAAAGCAGAGGGGGGAAAAAAAAGGCCTAGGGACTTTGATTACTTTCTTTGGCCCACCCAGCATATTTATGAAAATCTGAGTTATTTAAAAATTATGAAATTTCATGTCATAATGATCATTTCTGGCTTCTTTTGGAAAACCACAGCTCAGACAGTTAGCTCATATTCTTAAGAGGTTAAAAAGGGGTCAGTGGGCTGGGACTACAGCTCAGCGGCATAGCACTGGCATGGTAAGCACGAGGTCCTGAGTTCAGTTTCCAGTACAAAAAAAAAAAGAGGTCAGAGTCCCTTTAGATAGGATCCAGTAACACTTTGTTTCTACAGCCCTGGTATGGATTCTCTGTATCTTTCCAGAAATTCTGGCTCCCCTGATCTTATTTTTCCCAGCTGTAAATGAAATCGGATCATGCCTTGCCCTGGTTAAAGTCCTTCTGCAGGTTCCTGGCAGCAAGTCCCAGCTCCCAAGACTGGCACTGCAGTTCTCAGAGGGCTGGTTCCACAGCTTTGGCTCCTAGAAACAGCAAAGCCCTACCTTGAAAGTCAAGGATGACAAAATAATATAGAAGTTCACTCGAGAGGTCCAGATTTGGGATTTCTTAAAACTCTACAATCTCCCTCATAGTCACATGCACCTATGTCACATCCTTAGGATCCCTGAAGGAGGGGAGTAGCATACATCTGAGCCAGAGACCCCAGTCTCATAGCCTAAAGGTGTAGCTGCCCAATCTTTCAGAAACTTCTGAGTTCAGGACTACACTGTGGGGGACAGAAGGCCTGCGCATCCCTGACTTCTTCCACACACTTCTGCCTTCTTCCCGGGAAGGTTCAAGAGGTATGCAATATTTGGGAAAGAGATGGGGCCTACAGCTAGGTGGGATCTGGAAAATAGGGCAAGCGAGCACTTCATGAGGGGTGGGCAGGGAACCTGGGGGAAGGGTGAGGAGGGTGTAATTCTCCTGAGCTCAGCAACAAACCAGCCCTGCCCTGCCCTGAAGAAGCACTCCTGGCCCATAAGCAGGCAGCCTACCTCCTCCTTTGGTCCTGCCTCTCCACTACTGTGGACTAGCTCCTACCACCTCCAAGTGCACCCCATTTAGACTGAGTGACCCACCCATGAGGCTTCTCCATCTTGTGCTCTGACCACTGGTCCTGTTCCCAGGCCCTCCTTTCACTCTCCTTTTTCTCAGCACTGTACATCATGTTGCACCATGCCAGGGGAAACTGTGGGGACTGTTACACATGTTGGCTGGGCTCAGGAGAGAGCGAGGAGCCCTGTTATAGTCTCAGTGAACAGAAACCTGCCACCAGGGGAAAACCAAGGCCAAGAGCATCAACAAAGCAGAGTCCCCAGCCCAGGTCTGGTGCACTACCCCCATGTCCCTCTATGGTGCACCCCGTCCATCCACAAGGCCTCAACAACACCCCCCTTTTCCCTGTAGTCTAGTGCTTGTGGAGCTAGGCACTGAGCTATAGCTGCAGCTCACAAGTCCTGTTAATTTCAAGCCATTTGCACTTCTGAAAAACCTAACTGCCTGCCCTGCCATGGGTAAGGTGGCACCAACCACACTCTGTCATGCTGGTGGTTTCATAGTGCCACTGTGAAGAGCCTACAAACAAGTATCACCAATCCCACTGTGTACAAAGTACCTGAGAAAGGCAGAAGGGTGGGATGCAATGTTTCCTGCACACCATGGGGGTGTGATGAATCCTCACTGAAAGACTGAGCAATGGACTTATAAACCAAAAAGAGGCATATCAGGCAGCTAAGCAAGATCCCAGAAGCGGTGACATGAAAACAGGCTGGGGGCTTTGGAGCATGAGAGGAATTGCAGGAATAGACCTCAGTGCCTTGTCTGTTCTGCCTGTGGAGTGAGACCTCATTTCCTCCTGCAGGGTCTTGCTCCTTGCATTTAAGGCTGCACTAAGCAGGCTATGCCAGGTCAGGCCCGTGTCCCGCAAGACCATTGTGGCACATTTGAAATGGAGGAGAACCAACTCCATTTCCACTCCACGAATGCACTTCAGTTACACTGTACAATACTAAACGTGCAACTCAGCAGCAGTCTGCCAGGACTAAAGGCAGATATGGGCAAATCTGCAAATAAGTTGGAGACATCAACCCTCCTGACAGGACAAATAGACAAGAACTCAGGACAGAAAACATAGATATACTCAACAATACAGCCTCTGTGACCCCAAAGAAGACCCTACTCTACAGGAGCAGACACACGTCCCTATCATGCATGTCACTCCACCAAGTCGGGCCATATTCCACATCTGAAATAGGCCTCCATACATCTCAGACAACTGAAACCATGTACTGTATGGTCCCTGACCACAAAAGAGCTAAATTAAAGATCAACTATCAAAGAGATATCAGGAAATCCCATAAATATTTGGGAATTAAGTAACACACTTCTAAATAGTCCCGTGGTCAAAGAAGAATTCACAACACAAGAAAGACTAAGATGAAAACACAATAGATATAAATGGGTTGCAGCAGTAGAGGAAAATTAAAGAGCGAGAGCAAAGACTAAAACTCAGCAAATTAAAACACAAGGAAGTAGGAGGAATGAATTAGTAACATTAATAGTGAAAACCAATGACACAGAAAAACCAATTCAGTCTGGCCTTTAAAAGTCAGACTTCACATAAAGATGTGAATTTCTGACAACACTGGTCCTAAATTCTGCCACAATGGCAATGGACTGACCTTCGAAACCCAGTTCAGAAGCGAATGTCTGCCCCCTTCTGTCACACCAAATAACACTTCACTTCTTCAGTCCCCCTCCCTCAGGGCATCCTTAGGGAGGGGCTCCTGAAGAATCCAGAAGCAAAAAGAAAAAGAGAGGAAGCAAAGGAGACGCTGGCGTGAAGCCCACTTCAGCACAGAATCTTGAAGTATGCAGACACAGGATAAGAAGTGGGAAGATTCGAAAGCCACGCTAGCCTTCATTCCTGTCACAGTAACTATGATAGGGCTGCCTTTTGCTGCTCTGGAGAGGGAAAGGAGGCAAGTTCTGTGGTGCAAAGTAGAGTTTGGGGCATCTCAAGGATGACCAGAGGCAGAGATTCTAAAATGCACTTCCCATAGGGGCCTGGAATCTGGGAGGGGAGGATGGTACAGAAACAGCTTTTGTGTATCGCCGGATTCTGGATGGCAGGTAACGCCCTGTGAGAGAAGCAGTCCTCACCTTGCAGTGAGAGACAGACTCCTGAAGAAAAAAAAAAGAATAGATGCCTATGACCAGGGATGGAGTTTTGGGAATATCAACCAACCAGTTTCTAAGGGCCACTCCTGGGCCCCATGGGCTATACTCCTGGGACAGATGGAAAAAGAGGCCAGACCTTGAGAATCCCAGTAGTCAAAGTCATCTCTAGCCTGCCTAATGTGAAAGACTCCTGAAAATCTTGGAGGCACAGATTCCAGGGCCTCCCCTCTGACATAGTTACTGTGAACCTCTGGGGTGAGTACTGGAGACTGATTGTTAACCAGCATCCCAGGAAAAATTGTGTATCAGGGGGGCTTGCTCTGAGGTACAAGTCTGGAAGGAGCAGCAAAGATAGTAAGAAAAGCAGAGAGGGAAGAGCAGAAGGAAACATTCTCAAAAGGAAAAAAACAGGCAGAGTCAGGTGCTTGGACGGAAATCCAGTGGATTTAGCAATGATGGCATCATCGGTGATCTTCAATAGAGCCAATCAGGCAGGGCCAGACAGCCAAAGGGATAGAGAGGATGGGCAGACAGCAAGTGGGATACTCTGCAGCTTGGAAGAAGGGGTCACCAAGAGGCTGAGAACTATGCAGGACGACCTGGAGCTGGACAGATCCAGGCAGAGGTAGAGTGCAATGGGCGGGAAGCTGGCTGCCGGGCACACAGGGGCCACACACTATTGTACCTCAACTTGCAGCATGCTCACCAGAAGCCTTGGGGTAGTCAGTGTCATTTTAAAGGGACAGAGGCAAAGATTAAAACCAACCCCAGGCTTCGTGACCAGGAAGTGGTGGACCTGGGGCTGCCTTAGTAGCCAAGCTCCAATTCACCCTTCCCCTTCAAAGCAATCTGACCTCAGCATGAGGCCCCAGTCAGCTGTTGCGCATACTTTCTATATCCTGCTCTCTGAGGCTAAACACCTGTGCTTACCTCCTGCTTTCCTAGCCTCTAGTTTCCCCTCCCACCCTGGCAGGACTTCTCACATGACGCTGTGTGATCTGGTACCCCACCTCAGTTCTGCTACCTTTCTCTCCTGAGTTCTATTCTTCAAACACATGTAAGGCCTGCATGTTTGCATACATTCTTGCTGCCTGGGACTCTTCCCAGGTCCCAGAGTGGTTTGCTCCCGAAGGTATTCTCAGGCCCTTGCTCAAATGTTACCCCTCCAGAGGCCTTCAGAGCACACAGAATCCTATTCACTTCCTCCCCCAGCTTATCTTTCTTCAGGAGCCCTATCGTGCCACCTAATGTTATGTGGTAGCCATTTACAGGTTCTTTCCCCCACACAGTGACACTGACAGCTAAGACCACATCTATCCCATCATCCAAGCACCCAGGGGCCCAGGAATATGCGTAGTGGCCAGAGGTCCGAAGCCAGCAAGCTCCTTAGCACAGAACCACACAGGCCTACAGCCCCTAACCCACAACAAACTGTAGGATGCAGGGCCTCGGCCTGGCACTCGAGGCCTTTCCTGACTCTCCTGGGTCCCCTTTCAAGGCAGCCACAGGAACTTTTGCCACACGAAGCCAGCACCCATAAAGCAGCCTGACTCTCCATTCCATGCCCACTCTGATGGACGGGCACAGGCTTGCAAGGCTGGTCTTGCCCAACCCCCTCAACCATAGGCACCCTGTCTCTCTAGCCTGTGACACTTGAGGTCAGGCTCCAGACCTGGCACAGGGCCCATGCTGCCTAGCCTGAGACCCAGGGTCAGTAAATATTTATCAAATGTTAGGTATTTGGGTGTCACTGCTCCCTTGCTGTCTGCAGGATGCTATGTCCACCACGTGAGGTAACCGGAGGTGGACGCAAGAACACTGAAGGACAAATGGTCTCAGGGTGTAATTGCTGTTTCTGGGAAGGGCAAGCTGCTTGGACCTTGGTTGGTCAGTGGCACAACTTCCTGTGGCTTCCTCCCTCAGGACCTGAAATGCTGACAGACAGTGGGAAGCTCCTGGCACCTCTCCTCTATTTCAAGATTTCTGACATTTGATAGACACATGTCAAGCATTTAGGATCCATCTAGTAATGGGCCAGCACTGCTTCCCTCTCCATGACTTCAAATATCAGGACTGGCTGGGGCTGAGAGGCTGCAGCCTGGACTGGCCCTGCCTACCCCTTGCCTTTACCTTCATTGTGCTGAGCTCTCCGTCTCTCATCTCGAGGTGTTCTGGTTCCATCAATTTTTCTAGAAGGGGAAAAAAAAAGTGCGCATGTGTTATCTCAGACGCCTGTGCTCAAGCACTTAGTAAACAGTTAAGACTCAATAATTATCTTTGCAAGGCAAATTCATGCACAAAAGGAAAGAAGCAGTACTTTGTAAGCAAAACAGACTAAGAAACACCCTGTGCCTGCTGTGTGCCAACCTGCCCAGTTCCTAGGCCAGAAACCCTCCCTTCCTTCAGCCCCAACAGCAGACCTCCCAGCATCCCTTGCTCCTCAGACCAACACTTGCACTTACGGAGAGTAGGGGTGTGTCCGGGGTGCAATAGTCCGTTGCGTTCCTGTCTGAAGCACATCCTGAGGCGTCATCATGACATAGAATTGGCCTGTAGTGACAGCATTGGTTAATGGCAAGGCAACAAATGGAAGAGTTAGAAATGGTTGGAGGCTTCCCTGCCTGCCAGGCCCATTAACCTCCCCTGCTTCCCACCCCAGCCCTTCCTCTTCTTACCTCCAGCCTGCAAGCTCTGGTCTGTGGTCTGTACAGACACTGCCGTTGTATCTCCGACACTGGATGCCGGGAAGTAGGCAAACCGTGCCTCACCACTAACAGCTTCAGCGGCCGGGCTGCCACCATTGCTGAAGGGATTTTGGATTACAGCCTGGAGAACAGGAGGAGAGGCTGCCCTCAGCCATCTCCCCATCCACCCTCCTTGTTGCTGTGTTTGGTGGGTAGTGCATGCTCTACAGAAAGGGAGAATTCCTGTCCTGTGTCTCAGACAGGCCTGAAGCTGCACAGGTACTCAGCCATCATTTGCTGGCCCTAAGAAACTCTTAAGAGAGTCTCACTCTAAGAGACTTTCCCATGAGAGACACATCTCCCTGCTACTTTTGTTTTTTAAAATTTTTTAAAGTTTTTGAAACAGGGTCCTACTACGTACTCCAAACTGGTTCCTAGCCACACACTGTCCTCAGCTTCAAAGTGCTTTAACTATAGGCCTGGGACACCACACCTGTCATCACCATCCCAGTTTACATAACAACAAAAAAAAATCAAAACAACAATGTACAGCACAAAACTTCACTGTACACAACAGGAATCTCACCCCACAGGCCTCATACATAACCTAAAGGTGGCATCAGTCTCTCATCTGCCCCACCCCCTGGGATTCCCCAAGAGCAGTGCCCGTGCTCCCTCCTCCCCATCCCCCTCCAGATGCTGGGCACCTACCAGCGGGAAGGGTGCGGCGGGACCTGGGGGCACAGAGGCAGCAGCGGGGCCAGGGCGCTGGCCTGCCCCATCCACACCCACCTGGGTCACAGCCTGCTGCCCCCCCGCGAAGGCAGCTGTGGACACCACGCTGACGGCACCAGCTGTGTCGCCCTGGCCATCCAGCTGACCATCAGTCACCTGGACTACACGGTATGTCACCTGCAGAGGGCGGCAGAGCAACGAGACCGGCGCTGGTGCTGAGGCTGGGGCAGGGGCCAGGTCTAAGCCTTTCCCAGCCTATCCGCCGGCCCTGGCTCAGCCCTCAGCCGACCGGAGGAGTTGGGCCCGCACCTCACCTGTCCTCCATTATTCTCTGTGCGGAACTGGTACTGGATGTTGTGGTCACCGAACGCCGCCTGCTGGACGCTGGCGATGGCCACCGCCGTCTGCTCCTCCGCCCCAGGACCGTCCCCACCTGCAGGGAGGAGGGTCGGGAGGGTCAGCGTTGCGCGGGGTCTGCGCGCCCAGCCCCTCCGCGGGCGCGAACCCAGTCCCGGTGCACCGCAAACACTCACCTTCCTGCAGCTCGACGCCCTCCTCCGCCTCGGGTCCCTTGTCGTGGCTGTGTGGGCACAGGAGAAAGAGAGGTCGGACCCGGGCCGCGGCCGCCTGCGCCCCCGCCCCGGCGCACGTCCCTCATCCAGACCGCGCAGCCTGGTCCGGGGCGGACGCCCGCGGGCGGAGGGGGGGACAGGGGCGTCAGACACCGGGCGCCCCCTCCCTCGCGGCCTCCATTTTGAGCCGGGCCCGGCGGCCCTCGGGATCATGGCGGCCCGACCGACAGGCCGAAGGACCCGGACCCGGGCGCGCGAGGACACCGGCCGGGCGCTCTTACCTGGCGGCGGCTGCAGCGGTGGCCGAGGCAGCGGGATCCAGACCCGGGTCCAGCATGTCCATGGGGGGGGCGGGGGCGGGGGGGGCGCGAGGCCCGGGGGGAGGGGAGGGGAGGGAGGGGAAGGGAGGGGGAGGGAGGGGAGGGGGCGGGCGGCCGGGGGGGCCCCCGAGCCCGGCGCTCACGCCGCGCGGCAGGAGGGGACGGAGGAGACACGGGAGCCGCTCGCGCTGATCACGGGGACAAACAGTGGGGTCATGTGAGGAGGAGATGCCGCCGCCGCCGCCGTCGCTCCTGCGCCTGCCGCCTCCTGCTTCAGCCGCAGCCGCAGCCGCCTCCGCCTCCACCCGCCTGCCGGATCCGGGCGCTCAAGGCTCCGGGACGCCGCGCGGTCGCCCCCAACCCGCCGCACGCGGCCCTCGGGCCTCCTTCCCTGAGCGGCCGCCGCCGCCGCGACTTTTTATTTTTTTCACACGGCCCGCCCTGGATGGCCGCTGCCTGTCCCCTGGGTCGCTGGCTCGCTAGCTCGCCGCCCGGCCTGGCTGAGTCCAGCGGCGGATCGCTGCTGCCGCTGCAGCCGCTTTCTATTTTTCCCCCCTTTTTTTTCCTCCTTTACTTGAGCTGCGCGCGCGCGCGGCGGCGGCGGCGGCGGCGGCAGCGGCGGCGGCAGCGCGAGCCCAGGGCCGACGCGCGCGGCGGCGGAGGGGGGGGGCAGCCCCCGGGAAGTGCGCGCGCCGTCGGTCTAGGGTGGCGGGTGCGCGCAGGCCTGAGTCTCTGCGCCGCCGCAACTTCCCTGCGGCACCGCCTGGAACGCGGGGCCAGGGTGGAACGCTGGGGGACCGACAAGCGGCGGGGGTCGGAAGACAGGAAAGTAGGTCGGGGCCGCGGGGGAGGGGAGGTAGAATGGAAGAGACGCGCGCTCCCGGCCGCGTGCACGAAAGGTTAGGTGTGGGGCGCATGCGCGGGGCGGGGCGGGGGGCCGGGGCGCGCACGCAGACCCGGGTGGAGGCTGCGCGAGGGCACGTACTCCAGGCCTGCGGAGAGGGAGAAGGCCGGCTGCCGGCCGACCGGTCTCTTCCTCCTAACCCGGGACTCGGTCCGGGTAGGAAATGGAATGTGGCATTTTCTAGACATGCCGAAACTGCCGGGACCCCCACTTCCCGCAGCAACAAACACTTCTCTCAAAACAGACCTTGTGATTATCAATTTTATTGGACTTAAGAGGGGAAGATCTTCAATATTCTCTCGAATTAAAAAAATAAAGTACTAGCGCAGCTGAGTGCACACGCTTGTAATCCCAACACGTTGGGAGGTTGAGGCAGGAGGATTGGAAGTTCCAGAACACCTTGAGATCTTGTCTCAAAATTCAAAAAAAGTTAAAAAGAAAAAAACAAGGTTGGGGACATAGCTCAGTACGAAGACTGTGGGTTTAATCCCCAGTACCAAAAACAAGGTATAAAAGCTACATACAAAATGTGAGATCAGACGACTAAACTTTCTCGACTGAGAGCCAAGTTCTGCAAGAGAAAGAAAAAACGATGTGAACTGGGTGGACGCGGAGAGGCTCTGCAAAGGCTGAGTGGGATAGGGCAGTTTGCTCACCTTCTTCAGCTTCCGCTCCCGTGAGGCCTGAGACTCAGTCTCTGAGTAAGGGGGCGGCGCTGGAGGGTAGTAGGCCTCCTCTTCTCCTTCGTCTCTGTATGGTCTCCTCCTCTCCCCTGGCCCTTTTCTCCTCAAGGCCTCTTCTAGTAGCCGCCCATCATATTGGGGATCCCTGGCTTGGGAGCCATCATCCCGAGGGTCCCGGGACCGATAGCGGGATCTAGGGTCAGCAGGAGGGCGGTCCCTACACCTGACGTCATCATAGTGAGGATCTCGAGAGTGTGTAAAGTCCCTCGAGTCATCCAGGTTGTAGAGATCATCACGGCTGCAGCTTCGAGGGGGTGCCCGTCCTCTCCTTCCACTACTTGCAGGAGACCTCCTTCCCGATTCGGCAGAGCCAGGCCCATTGAGGTCATCCAGAGCATCTACAGAGCGGGCTCGGGGCCGGCCACTCCCTGCCCGATCCTGCTCCCATCTCCTGGGACTCCGGGGAGAGTGGTGATCCCACTCCTCATCCCGGATTGGGCTGAGGGTGGGGCACCTGGAAGGTCTGGATCGCCAGTCATCCTCATGGAGGGAGGTGACTTCACTCATGGCTGTAAGGAAGGGGGATGTCACTGATGCTGGGAAGAGCCCAGGGATAGGGAAGAGGGATTGTCTCTAAGACCTATAGCAAGCACGCTGAGGACAGGTCTCCAGGAAACATGTTAACCCCTGCCCCACTGGGCCCTAGTTCTCCTGCTCACCCCGTTCCACACGGCCATTGGGTGGGCCAGGACGAGAGGGGTCAAAGTTGGCCAGCTCCTTCTCCATGTAGTAAAGAACTCGCATGGAATCATCCTGCTGATTGGCCTGGATCCTGTAGCCACTACGGACTTCTAAGGACAGGGGTGCAAGTGACCAGGTTTGCAGGAAAGATGCTGACCCACCCACCCTGCCTCCCTAATGCACAACCTTAGAATGTTGGACTCTTACCAGAAGTCGAATTGCTGTCTGTGTCTCGAAGCAGGGGTACCTGGGAGCTGTGGCCAGCTACTAGGGGAGACTTGCTGTCAGTGGCTGCCAGCCACCGTCTGCCTTCCACTCTTCTTCCAACCCAGCCTGCTCCTTGCCCACTCGGGCTCTCCCCAACCCTCACCTGAGCTGTTTCTGTCGAAGTCTCCAGGGTATCCTCCAGGGTAGCCATTGTAGACAGGGCCCATGGGAATCATGGCTGGTGGTGGGGGTGGGGTCTTGGCAGGGGAGAGGTGGGCATAGGTGCTGGGGCCATAGATGCTTGGCACCCCTGAGGTGGCTGCCTTGCCAGCAGCATACACTAGGAAGACATAGTGGGCATGAGAAGGGATCCAGGCACCAGGCTGTCCTACACCATGAAACTCCCTGGAGGGATCTAGGCCTGTACTTCCTCACTCTCTTATTTCTGCCAGACCCCCAGGCCCAAGGGACATCAGCTTCCTGCTCTGCTGTCATGTGTGTTGGATGCCAGATACAACTAAAGGGTGCGCTGGGGTCTCTGGAGTTAACTTCTCCCACGCAGTAAAATATCTCCTCTCGGGTTTCTTAACTCCTGACCACATCTATTCCCACCCTGCCTGCTTGGCTCTAGGCTTGACAGCTTAAGGGCAAATCCTTGTTGCTTTCTTTCCATGCAAAGGCAGATCAGATCCAGAGCTGCTCCTTCACTTCCTCTTTGGGACTCCACAGGCTCCGAATCCCCCATCTCCCCAAGTCATTTAGCTCACAAGCAGAAGTCTAAGGATTCAGCCCTGCCTAGGATAAACCCTTCATTATATCAGGTGACTTGCCTACACTGTAATTAGCAGTGGGAGCTCTTGCTTCCTCATTGGGGGCCGGGGGAACTGGGGCTATAGCAGAAGGGGGTGCTTTTGGCAGGTGACAGGGACTTGGCATGGAGAAGTATGGCCTTGGGAGACATAAGGCCTGAAAACAGACTTGTGCTGTGTTGCCCACATTCTTTCTTAAAACAAGAAGGGACAGGATGGCCAGCGTCATCTCACAGAGTGCAGGGGGGCCTGCTCAGGGGAGCACAGTAGGGAACCCATCAGCTGGCATGGGTGGTGGCACTGCAGCCCGGTCCTGCGCACTTTCACAGGCTCCCCTTGATCCTCATACCGCCCCATGAGACCTCTGAGAGAAGGGAACACGGCAGGTGTGGCAGTCCCTGATCTGCACCCGGGCCTGCGGTCATCACTGATGTGGACAGTGTTGATGGACAGCAGCTAGCAGGCAGGGTACACAGGCCCCACCCTGCACAAAATGCTGCGCACACGAGGTCATCCCTAAATTCCCAGACTCACCCTGAATAGTACGTAGGGCTCCTCTGTCAGGAGCCTTACTTCGTGGGGAGACAAACTCTGAGAGGGCAAAGCACTCACTGGGCCTGCGCCTGTCAGCTGTCTGGGCATCCAGCCAGCTGGGAACCTCCACCTGCCCCTGCTTGTAACTGCCTGTCATTCCTCTGACTGTGTGCACTTGGGGCTATGTGCCAAGAGGCTGGTCTACCCAGGCACCCTCCTGAAGGACACTGAGGAACTAGCAACAGCTGTCGTTCCCTGTAGAGTAGCCTAGGACAGCCATGAAAGGGGATCTTTCTTCCTATGGTGAGGAGTTTCTTTCTTTTCTTTTTTCCCCCACCATATGGTTCTGAAGATTGAATCTAGAGAGTACTAAGCTCTAGCCCTAGCTCTTTTTATTTATTTATTTTTTTGGACAGTCTCACTAAATTGCCCAGCCTGGCCTGGAATTTTTGACCCTCCTGCCTCAGCCTTCTAAGTACCTGGGATTACAAGCATGGGCCACAATGTCCAGCTAAACTTTCTTTTTTCCCCATCTATAGCCCCTTCCTCTTTGGACCCAATTCGATTCCTGATCTCCCACAAGTTCCTGCATTAATGTGCTATACACCTTCCTAAACACAGGGTCCACAGAAAATGTGCAGCATTTCTGTATTTTGAAAATTTCCTAAAATTACATAGTCCCATAAACCTTATTTGATTACTTACCATTTTTCACTTGAGATTTTGTTTTTATGGGGTGTTTCAATTTCCTGTGAATAATGTCTTGTACTAATGGGACATTTTCCTTTTACCATATGTATAAGTTACACTGACATGAGAAACCCCAAATAAAAATTAAAAGTTGAAGTAAGCAAATGTTAAGCTGAAATAGCAGTAGTCCTTGGTCCCCTTTCTCATTGCTAACTTCTACACCAGTAGCATTGTCCCCGAGGATAGGAAGATGTGTACTACCCCATGCAGGACTGACATTGGGGTACTTACGAGCCTCCGGGCAGCAGCACTTCTGTGGGCAGCAGGGGCACCTGACATAACAGCAGCAGGTGTGTGGGCAGCACTGACACCAGCAGATGCCCAGGAGAAGGAAGACGAGGAAGGCAGCTAGGCACACCACGACCACAAAGAGCCAGTCTGCAGAGACAAGGGCAAGTCCTGAGCTGAGAGGGGAGGACAGGCTCCGCAGAACAGTGTGCAATTGACACCTGGGCAAAGGGGCCTGTTGGCAAAGCTCATCGGGGAATCTGCAGCCTTTGCTAGATTCTCCGTGCAGCAGCAGAGGGCTGCCCAACTCCCTACAAACCAGTCCCAAGTGAGGAACTCCCCCAGGTTCAAACAGACAAGGCAGAAAGTAAGAGGCAGCCTAGCCAAAGCAAGACAGATTACAGCCTCCAGAAGAAGGGAGAGAGCCACAAGCCCAGACCCCAACCCTGAAGAACACAGCAGATGCCAGTCACTTGTGCCCCTGCCTACACCCCAAGCCCATCCTCAGCCAGCCCATTCCACCTGAAAGCTTACAGCCAGGCCACTACCTGTCCCAGAATCAGGTGGGTTAATGGGGTCCACAGTGAGCAGTGGTTAGGGGGTGGGAAGAGTAACAGAAAAAGAAGTGGTAGGTTGGGGCTCCCAGGAGAAGTCCCCCACAAAGGACTCCACCCTCCCGTACCTTCCATGGGCCCCGCCTGAAAACCAGGTAAGAGCTCAGTCACCCCTGAGGTCCTGCCTGGAGGGACAAAAGAGAAACAGGAAATTATGG